CTACGACTGTCCAAGCATACTTTATTCCCAAATGGATACCCAGGCCCGCCTCCGATCGATCCCACTCCAGAAGAACAAATTATTATTCACCAGCAGCTGGTTCGGCGACTGCGCGAACAGGTGCCAGCATTTCTGGCCCCTGTTTTTCTTGGATCATCGCCAGAACGCACTGTTGAAGAAATGATCAGGCCCCTTGGCGACGCTGCGTGTAATGCACACCTTGCAGTCTTTATCATGGACGCGTTATTATTGTCCGTTTTCCCAGAGATGGGAGTTGAAGGGAGTGCTGGGAATGCCGACGTGGATGTAGCAGAAAGGTTAGATGACGACGGAATTCAGGACTGGGCGCCAAGGCTAAGTCGAACTTCAACGTCGGCGATGACTCTGTAGCGATGTCACAATTTCTGTGCGATTTTTCCTGAGTTTCCGATTCGGAACCACATCGCGTATTTGTCTATATTTATTGACGTCACACGGTACGGTATATATGGTCAAGCAAGAAATCAGCGTATTCCCAGCGTTTGTCCCCCTAATCATGTCTTCCATTCACCAACCTCCAAGCCCTCCCGTTCTCTATTCGTTTGAGTCCCCGAATGAGTTGAGCGAGAAGCTCGCAGCCTTCATCGCTAAAGCACAGAAAGAAGCTATCGACAAGAAGGGCAGGTTCACTGTTGCTCTCTCAGGCGGCTCCCTGCCAAAGCAGCTGAATAAGCTCATTGATAACCCAGCTGTGAAATGGGACAAATGGTGAGGATTGATTCAAAGATCGCAATAAAAATCCTTCTCAAAAATACTACAGGCAGGTCTTCTTCGCCGATGAACGCTGCGTTCCGCTGGATCACGAAGACTCCAACTACAACCTTTGCCGGAAAGAGCTATTCAGCAAAGTACCCATACCACCCAAAAACATTCACCACTTGGATGTCGCCCTCTTGGACGATCTCGAAGAGCTCGCAGACGCGTACGAGAAAGCGCTTATTAACGAGTTCGCTCAAAAAGACTCTGCTCGTTTTCCCGTCTTCGACCTCATCCTTCTCGGCATCGGTCCAGACGGACACACCTGCTCCCTCTTCCCGGAACATCCTCTGTTGACGGAAGAGGACAGGTGGGTCGCGTACATCGAGGACTCACCGAAGCCTCCACCAAAACGCATCACCTTGACATTCCCGGTTCTTAACCATGCTCTACGCGTCGTGTTCGTTGCAGCGGGCGAGGGAAAAGCTGATGTTCTCAGCACTATAATTGATAACCCAGAAGCAGGCTTGCCTGCTTCTCGCGTCAGACCATCGCACCCAGGCCAGGTGTACTGGTATGTTGACAATGCTGCCTCAGCCAAGGTCAAGTACCAGAGGTCGGAGTTCAAGCTATAAGTTTTTGGAAGGAAGGAATTGCGGAAGGAATGTGTCTTGTACTTGTACCAACCTTCAATGCCGCATCTTCACTTTTGTTTTATCTCACTTGTGCCTATTACATCCGCCATAGCCTGCGTCGTGAATAGATGAGATCAACAGCGTTCGTGATGTACGCGATAGAGAACAAATATTACTCGACGTAATTGCAAGGGGTAACAAACGGCTAAGATGCCGTAGACAGCATGACCAACATAAGAAAATCCCAGTCCATAGATTATCCATTAACAGTTGCACCCATAGTTTTGTGTGCTCTCCCGGTCAATCTGGATTGGATCCGGGTAATCAACATACCTATCACTTGTTGTGAGTAAGATGGCCAAGCATGATTGAACAAACGTACAGTTGTTCTTCTGCTTCTTGTTGCAGCGCATTCTTCGAGACGGTCTGGAATGCCTGCTCCACATTGATAGCCTCCTTAGCAGAAGTCTCAAAGTAAGGGATATTGCCCTTCGATTGACACCACGTCATAGCACGCTTCTGCGTTACCTACAAAGCACGTGAGCGAAGGAAACATATGTTATGACGCTGCCTTCGACGGACCTGTCGCTTGTTCTCCTCCACATCGATCTTATTCCCCAACACGACAAAGGGGAAATTCTCCGGGTCGTGCGGGCTCGCCTGGATAAGGAACTCATCACGCCAGCTGTCGAGCGTCTCGAACGACTTAGCGCTGTTCACGTCATACACAAGCACACAGCAGTCTGCACCGCGGTAGTAAGCTACACCTAGAGATTGGAAGCGCTCCTGTCCGGCGGTATCCCAGAGCTGAGTATCCTAATCAGTGGGGATGACGCACTTACCCTACTATGATACGTACCTGCATTGTGACAAGACGGTCATCCACCATAACTTCCTTTGTAAGGCTGAGAATGGGTGAGAGCCTTGAACGGAGTCACGAACGTGAAAGGGCACTTACAAGTCGGCACCAATGGTAGCCTTGTACTGGTTGCTGAACCGCTTGTTCACATATTGGTTCATGAGTGACGTCTTGCCGACACTACACAAACCAGAACAGAATGATAAGTTTCAATTCTATGGGTCAAGGCTAAACACTTTGCAGCACGTACCCACTGTCGCCTAAGATAATAACCTAACCAGACGAGTCAGCTACACAGTAATAAGACAGATTTGCACGAGTAGTATAGAAAACGGACCTTGAGTAATACACGACCCATTTATGAAATTTAAGAAGAAAGTTATGCGCGAGGAATGGGAGGAGGTTGTCGTGCTGCACAGGGCTCGAAATGGACGATGGTCGGTGGGGCGCCGGCACCGGATGCCAGCGCCGCCCCATACGGAAGGTGTTTCATCTCCGCTTCAACTGTGTTACCTGTTCCGATTGGAACGGCCAATCGGCGACAAGACTCTGCATGCTTCGTCGAGTCACTTGTAATATCCTAGAACTTCCTTCTTTCACCAGATATCACCGTTCGCGACGTCTGTTGTGCCATATCCACTGCAGAAACATGGCAACTCGTATCGCGCCTGCTGTCAGGAAAGTGATCCAACTGACCGACGCCGAGGATAATCTGTGCACTTTACTTGACGAATTTACGCGCCATCTCCAAGAGAACAAAAATATCATAACAGCCTGCAGGATCAACGGGGGATGGGTTAGGGACAAGGTCAATCCGGCCTCTGTCATCGTTTGGGGCAAGCTCTCATGTTGTTTCATTCATGTGTTACAGTTACTGGGCATGCAGAGCAATGATATGGACATCTGTCTCGCCGATATGATGGGTGTGACTTTTGCTGAAGGTTTCGTAGCATTTCTGTCTGAGCAGAAAGATCTTCATGTGCACAAAATCTCGAAAATTGAAAGCAATCCTGATCAATCCAAACACTTGGAAACTGCACGGACTACTCTCCTTGGCATAGACCTCGATTTCGTAAATCTAAGAAGCGAGGAGTATGCAGAAGACAGTCGCATACCGACTGAAGTTGTGTGTCCAAGGTCTCTTTGAAGGACACGCAGTACTTGACCAGATTGTATACAGAAATTTGGTACACCACTAGAGGATGCTCTACGGAGGGACCTCACTATTAACGCACTGTTCTACAACGTTCATACTCGTTCAGTTGAGGATTTCACTGAAAAGGTGAATTCATGTAACGGATATCACCGACATTGATGATACTGACACGATATGGATAGGGTCTCGATGATCTACAAAATGGTATCATTCGGACCCCATTGCCGCCACGTGAAACTTTCCTGGACGATCCCCTGCGCGTGATACGATGCGTTCGCTTCGCAAGCCGTTTCGGTTTTGAAATAGAGTCTGATCTGCAGCAAGCTGCCCAGCTTGAAATAATTCAAGATAGCCTTGCACAAAAAATCAGCCGAGAACGAGTCGGGGAAGAAATTGATAAAATGATGAAAGGTCAGTGTGAACCATCCTGCGAGAAAGAATCTCTGACAGATTTCTCGTAACGTTCAGGGCAGGATCCTCTCCGCTCGATACGTATTATTAATGATCTGAAACTTTACAAAAGTATATACCACGTCCCACCACAAATCACCAACATCGCCTCGTCTACTCCGAAACCACACGAGCTTTCTTTGCGTGCCGCTACTATTTTGAATGGCCTCCTTTCATCCACCAGCGAGGATTCGATGTCTTTGCATCCCACTCTCCGGTCCTACGTTCTGCAAGAGCCCGGGTGCAAGGCACGCCTGTTTCTTGCAGCCAGTCTCTATTCGTATCATGGAATCACGTACCCGGATTCAAAAGGCAAGGAACAAACACTCGTCAAGTGCGCAATCCAGGATGGGCTAAAACTGGGTAGACAAAATCATTACCTGGATGGCATACCTGCTCTGTATTCCGCTTCCGACCTCTTGAATGGTGTTTCGCTGGGACAGGACAGGCTAAAACTGCCTTCGGAAAGAGTTGCTATAGGTATGCTTGATAATCGTGCAAGCTCGATTCGATTAATGATGGGTGTCTGTCTCGTCTAGGACTTTTGCTACGGCAAGAAAGTGTCCATAACACAAACACAGGTTCTCAGTGGGCTAGCTCCCTTGTATTCTCTCTCGTGTGCGAGCTTGTCTCAGCGTCTGGCCATGAAGAAGCAGCAGAGTGCGTCCAGCGTTACAACGCATTGACACGCCGGGTCGAAGAGCTTGGGTTGGACAAAGCAGTGGATGCTAAGCCGATACTAGATGTGAGAATTTTTGATTTTACTACACCTGGCTTGGGGTTGAACTATCACAGGGCCAAGCAATTGCCTACGCTATGGATGAAAAGCCTGGTCCGTGGATGAAGACAATGGTCAACAGGGTGCTTGAATGGCAGCTCGGACATCCCGAAGATACTCAAGATGACTGCCTTATCTGGTTGAAGGAAGAGAAAAGTGCAGGACGCATTGACCTGGAAGAGCTAAAGGCTGCAACCATGGGCAACAAGAGAGTGAATCCAGGCAAAGTGGCGTCTTCAAAGAAAGTCAAACGATGAGCGATTCAAATATGTACTAGTCAAATGGTATATATGGACATCTAATGGCATGCATGTGCTAGTTGTAACAACAGGGTTTTCTAAGAATACAGAGGAATTTACATGGTACATGACAAGGGTGTTGGAAATCTGTGCTTGCTGGGTATGCAGAAGTGTGAGATGGGGGTAAAGTGGAAAAGAGATCGTCAATGACGTGAGCGTGAGTGGTATATTCCTTGGATGATGTAAGTGTGTGAGCGTAGAGCGAGTGTCTGTGGTTTTTAGTTGAAGTGAATCCAGTCATCGAGGTCGACCTCGGGTTGCACATCTTTGGTAATAGGGTCAATTTTCTCAGGCGTGAAGCTGGCTATGTCGTCGTCCTTGGAAGGGCTGTATGGGAACGGAAACAAAGATGGCACGGTGTCCATCGACGGTACGAAGAACTCATCGAGCTCGTTATCCGGTGAACAAGGCGTGAGGAAAGCAGTCCAAGGGTTGGTGAAGACAATTGGAGACCGAGGAGGTGTCAAAAGAGGAGACGCATAGTCACTCGACAGGGGAGAGTCGTTATTTTCGATAAGGGGAGGAGTCGGGGGCAGCTGCAGGCCGGCGTCAAGGAAGTAGTCATTGAAAGGCATGACCTCGAGCTCAGCACCGAAGTAGGGAAGCCCTGCAGCTGGCTTAGTGCCTGAGTAGAAGATGTCAGATGTTTCCTGTTCTGCAACCTTCCCGACCAATGATGAGGGACGTTAAATCGACGGTGTATGGAAAATAGCATACCTTCATATCATATAGAGCATCAAGACTTAGAGGCGGTATTTCGTCAGTAGGAACGAATTCATCCAACATATCGCTTGGATACAGCAGTTCAGGGGTACCGCTGAATTGCTCCGGAGTAGGTGCGGCCTCCCGGGAAGTAGAACTAAGTGGGAACGAACAAGCACTCGTGGCGGCGAGGTCAGGGCCTGCGGTGCGACGTTGAGTGATGGTTGAGCGCGAGACTCGAGGACGAGCAGCGACCTTCTTTCTGCGATGTTCGCGCAATTGGACAAGAGGCAGAGCCCTGGGGGCGACTATGGGTGCTTTTGGAGGGATGATAGGTGTCGGTACGATCTCGTCTTCATCTTCAGATTTGACGTGTGCCATCGCGTGCGCCAATGCAGAGCCCTCGACTCCTTTCTGCAAGAGAGTAGCGATCATGTCGCACTTGGTTCTCTCCTCATCGCTGTTGCGTCTCCCCTTTCGCTTCGGTCCCGCGTTGGTGCGGTGAGAGGGAGAGTATTTGTAGTTGGGATACATCTTCGCGTGCAGTGCCTTGGCTTCTTTAGCCATCTGCACAAAAGGTTCCTTCTCGTCGTCAGACAAGTTACGCCATCTTTCGCCGGCTATGCGCGAAACGTTGCGATGATCAGATTCTAGGCTTCTGAAATCCTCATTACTCCAGAGGCAAGAGCGGAAGACGATGAAGGCGTTGGGAGGGCGGGGTATGTGACCTTCTTCTTTTTTACGGGAGTGCGATGAACGATTGGGGAACGATAACAAGTGGGACAGGACAGGGGATAGCGACGAAGAGATATGGGAAGAAGAGATCGTAGTTCCAACAGGAGATGGGGGAGTGGTATGAATGGAAGGGATGCCAACGGTCCTAACGCTTGAATAGCCCGACCGAGCGAAGTATGACTCTTCATAAACATAATCTTCAGCTGCGGAAAAGATTAGTGATCATTCGAAAACGTGTGGACCCATAAGGTCAAACAAGGAAATGATCGTCGTACCTGCAATCGGTGACTGATGTGATAATCGACGAGATCGACGAACGACGTTGCGAACGTTGGGCATGATAACAAGGCTTTTTGAAGATATGTGTAGTATCAGAGATAAAGCTGAGGGAGAGGCGCAGAGGCGTAGAGGAAGATCACAGTCGATTGAGGATCCCGGTTCGCCCACATAATGGAGCGCTTAAGAGTGTTAAGGCCAAAAGCCTTGTATGGGGGAGAGCTAGTACGACCACTCTGCCCCGTCACCTCGAGGCTGCCTTGAGGTCACAAGGCCCTTGAGCCCTTCCATATCCGTCGAGTCTACTAGATTTCCGCCTTGCGACCGTTGTTCTGTGAAAGGAGCGGAATCAAGATACGAATAAGCTTCAAGAATCAATAGGCTTCAATGCAGGGCGATATCGAAATCTACGACCTACCAGTGAAACGTGCCGCAAAACATGCGGCACTGGAATTCCTGCCCCAAAGTCAGCCGAGAACAGCGACCTTGAACTTACATTGTAGCCTGATTTGAGTAGGACTCACCTATACAAAGATTCCCAGGAATAGCCTCGTGGAGAGACTTCATCCCAGCGGCGCGGCGTTTTACCTTGACACAATGCGCTTCGGAAGCAAACCTTCAGGGCTCCGAAATCCATGATCTTTGTCACATCTTCACATCATCATCACCCTTCACCTTTCACATTATCACATTAAAGGATTTGCTCATCGTCAGACTTCGTCAGCTCACCATCGATTATCATTATGTACATTCCGATCGAATGAGTCGTTATCTTGACCAGGGATAGTTCCTTGCAAGGAAATACATAGCATTTTCAAGCTTCCAAGAGCTCAAAGAATCTCAGAATACCAGTGCTGCTAATGCCGTCATGACATTTTCATCAATACTCGAAGCCTTCTAACACTGACAGTAAAAACGACGTGCTTTTTAAATTTTCGAAAGAAGAATCATTTATCTGATCTATCCCCTTCCCCGACGCCGTTGTTTTTAACGGTCTCACGAAGCTCTTTCTCCTTCCGCCTCTTCGAGCCCGCAATCATGTCCCTTTACATTGACATGAGCTAGAAGTAGTGCCCGAAGCTTTAAATGAACCAACCTCTTCTTAATTGCATCATTGCGACCTATTTTGCGGGCCGCATTCACAGTATTTTCTCGCTTCACCTTGCCCATCTGTCTTCGCTTCATTTTTGATGGTTTCGGAAGTTTAAGAATCCATTCTGGGACAGAAGAGCCGGACTGTAACAGCACGTTGGCAATACTAGGTAAGGGGACATCAGCTAGATGTCGGTCAAGATGGCCGAGTTTCACGTACGCTTTCAAGAAGGGTCCATCTTCATCTGTGAAAAAAGTCACGGCTTTCCCTTCCCGCCCGGCGCGACCTGTACGGCCTGCGAAGATTAAGTTCCGAGACAAGTTGATCACAAAAGGGGGGCGTACCTATTCGATGGACGTAACTCTGGACACTGGTTGGGAAATCGTAATTGATCACCTCCCGGATGCCTTTGAAGTCCATGCCACGAGCCATGACTTCTGTGGTCACCATGACCCAGCTTTCGCCACGGCGCATCCTGCTCACCGCCTCATCACGCTGTTTTTTTGTTAGCCCGGCGTGAAGACAATCCACATTTGAAATGCCGTTCATTATCAACTCTTCTGCAAGCGACGTTGTTCTTGGTTGAGTAGATGTGAAGACGAGTAGAGGTGGATTGTATGGTTGAGAAAGATACGTTAACAAACTTGGGAGCTTAGAGGCATCATCGGCCACATATGTAAGAGTTTGTGCGATCAAAGGGAGCGGTGTGTCTCTAAAAAAGCAAGTTAGCGGTTGTACACAAATATTGGGTGATCGGTCAGTACTTAAGACCAACAATAATTCGTATAGGGTTCCTGAGGATACCCATCGCAAGTTTCTCTGAGCCAGCAGGTAAAGTAGCGGAAAAGACCGCTTTTTGTATGTTCGGATGAGTACATGCTGCGATAACTTCTTGAACTTGAGACAAGAATTCAGGGTCAAGCATTCGGTCGGCTTCATCTAATACAAGATGCTGCACGCTAGTGATAAGAGTCAGCCACGTGCACAGTAAGACAAGCGGCTCATGACGTACTTATTCAGTTCCAGGTTTCCTTCCTGAATGGAGACCACTAGCCGAAGGGGCGTGCTGATGATGATGTCTATGTAGTATTAGTCTGGATAGAGAGTGTGTGACGTGTGGATGTAGCGTACCTACTTTGTCTCTCACGTTCTTGTCGCTCAGGGTACTAGCTGTAGCTTTGCTAAACAGGACCGTGCGCCATTTACGCCCAGCGGCGAGTTTCAGGCACTCATTGTGTATCTGGTGTGCTAATTCCCGAGTCGGTGCAAGAATCACAGCTCTAACTCCACGACCTCCGTCGTTCTTCGTACTAGATATCGGGGAACCCAGGGCAGATATGATGGGAGTCAGATATGCTAGAGTTTTACCCGTACCAGTCGGCGAGATGGCAGCGAGGTCACGGCGCTGCAGTAAGAGTCATCAGCATCCTCAGAACCATAAGAAAGAACGTTTGGCGGGCTCACCTCGAGCAGAATTGGAATCCCATGAGCCTGGATTCCAGTAGGATATTTGTAACTGTTTTCAGAAAGATTTGATAGTAGACGTGGAGGGACGTTATATCGTTCGCGCAGGTCCTCGAAGGACGCAATTGGTTTAGGCACATCTGATCCTTTGGCAGTCACGCGGTGTTTCTGCAGTGGTCGGAGCCTCTTCCTCTGTGCCAATGTGATTATCGTCGGAAGTCCGCTGATTCGTCCTCTATCTTCCGACGCTTGCGTTCCACCTTTTCTTGCTTGCCTTCGGCATGAACATCGCTCTCTTTGTCCTCAGCTTTGCGCTTCCCGGAAGAAGCTTTGGCATATTTAAAAAAGTCTAGCTCTGGAGGTAACTGTGTCAGGACCCCCTTTCCTTTGACATCTTTTGGTGGTGCAGCCTTCTGAAAAGACATGAGCCACCAAAACAGCTGACGGACACATTTTCTTACATTGAATATTTGGACGTCAGACTTGAATCTTTGTTTGTTAAATCGTGCACCTCCACGAGAAAGAAGCTGAAATGCTTCCATAATGTCTGTAGAGCGCAGCTAGCGAACGGTCAATGAGGACCTGCTGAATTAGTGGAAGGAGTATGACCGGACACCGAGATGGTTAGTAGTCACGTGGGAGACAGTAGACCGCACTTCCCGATTAGATTGGAACTTATGAACTTGGAGCAATCCAGACGCTAACCGCGAAATAACGGCGCTGCAAAGAATTGATACATAGATTTCTTGGTTGCGTGCGCGACGGCACCAGGTACTGTGATAAGTAGCTGTTGGTTGAGAAAATTCGCAAATCCTAAGCTTGTCCCAAGTATGTAACTATTCTACCTTTCCGCCAGGCTAGCTATTGTGAGTTCGAGTCAGCATCCACCTCAGTGAATAGAGTGTGAAAGTGATATAAATCCAAGGTTATATGTCTAGGATATATCATATAGCGTCTTAATGGCATTCATGTGAATGTCCAAGCGTCAATCCGACAACTTGAAGACATGAGGTATTGTGTGCCCGACGATGTGCAGCAAAATTGAATATAGATTATGAGGGGACCAAGGAGGACCAGCCACGTTTCAGTTGCTGTTGGGAACGAATATGTCGATGTGCAGCCACGGGATAAGTTTTCTGAACTTACCTCGAAAAAGACGAACATCAGGACGGTGTTAGGGCCAAGACGCATCCAAGCGGGCGTCCAGCCTTTGAACATGAATGCGGGACCTTCCTCGCGCAGGGAACGGACTAGGACCTCTATTGGACTAGCATTTCCAGACTGGAAGCGACTGTCAAACTCCATCACGGGTATTCGATGTCTGAAGAAGTACGTACAGAGCCCATGATCCTTGTCCTTATGACATCAGCAGGAGAGCACACGGCTTGAATTGTGAAACAATCAGTGGCATTCTGGTAACTTCATAGGAAGGAACTAACTCGTGCCGCATGTTCCGGCTGCAAGACTTGCAACTACGTGCAAGAAGAAGCCATCATGGAATTGATAGTTAACCAAGGGTATAGGGTATTGCAAAAGAGTAGTTTTGAAAAAGTCATAGCTGTCGAGACCTGATAAACTGAAACGGCAAAGAGATAACAACGCCATACTCACGATCCAACCTGTGATGTCTGTATAGTATATCGTGTGAGCATTACACTGACGGAAAATAGCAAATTAATTTACATTCATCAAGACTGCTCGGGTCTTTGTGGTGCTCATAGTCAGTGAAAGCTAGGTGTGATGTCAAACGCACAAACTGTATTTGTCCCGAGGCCGCGTGCAAGACCCTTCTGGCCATCCTCTTTTACCAAAGAGATGAGTCCAGTGATAGCGTTGCGGTAATTATAGCGCTTCTCTGGCGGACGAACGGAGTCACTGGTCATCCGAACCAATAGAACATCTGCAAACAATTTATTTATTATGCATAATAGTAATATCACAGCATGGCATGGACGGACCTGCTGGATTTCCTGCTATTCCTCCTAAACCGCCAGCCACGCCAGCGGCCAGAAGAAGCTTCCCAGTAGATGGAGGATGACCATTCTCAGATATGAATCTTTTCATCTCCTCATAGCTGCCTAAACGCACGAGCGAGTAGGACATTTGACGCATAAGCGAGGCGGAGAGACCGGTATAAACACTACGAAGTCCATAGTTGGATATCGAGTGGCGCAGAATTTTGAGCATAGATGGGCTTGGTACAGTAGGACCAAGACTCTGCATGCGCCTGTTGAGTGAGTATGAGCAAGCCATCACGAGGGTTCCAAGAACCACGCTTACACTTTGGCCAGGTCAAGGGGATGCGTAAAGCATGCGGCCACTGCAAGACGTCAATTTCAGTATTGAAGATGTACTCAGTTGCTCACTGGATGCCGCGACGCCTGGTCATGATGATGAGCAGTGCGTGATAAAACGAGTAATAACTTATCTTACCTCCGAGCCTTTGAAATCAGAGTACTTTAGTACATTTTGAGGGGGATTTATTCAACTGTCATGAAACTCACCAAAACGGATAGTTGGGCATCTTATTTCGTTCCTTCAAATACATGGCACCCGCCTCCCCTTATAAACGCGTACCCGCCTGTGTCAGTGCTGTACCGATTAAAACCGAGACATATGTGCGCCGTGTGATATCGTGGTATGCAGAAAATTTAGGGTTGTACAGGCTACAAATTTATCAATCAGATACACAGACAAATAAAGAAAACCTGGGCGGGAGACGGGAGGCCGCTCGATCTGTTACACGTATCGTCTGCGTCTGGTCTGCACCAGCCAGACCATATATTAGACTGGAACACCTGTCTCTCCTCGACAATTGATCATGATAAGACCGGGCAAGGGGTGGTTGAGTCACGCTCTGACTCGGAGGGCTAAGCGAAATATCTACTCATGAGGGATACCATGCGATATCGATCGGATCTTCTGTCAGACAGATTTAAACTGTAGACACTGATGTTTCCCTACAGCATAAAAAGGTAGCATTTGTAGAACTGCAGGTTTGCATGTCATACTATTGAGTTACTATTATTGCAATTGCAATGATGGCAGCCTGACCTGCCAATTCCTTAATCATTAAAAATATGCGGCAGTGACACAACTATTGTGCATGTCCGATGACTTCTAGTATTTCAAGTTGCTCGCCGACCAGTACTAAGACTTGCAGGTAGGGTCCGTGCGCACGTGATTCCAAATTAGTAAGCGCGCCGCGTTTTGAACAGCGCACGCATTTTTGTGTCGCTCTTTAATCTCAACCTTCTCCTCTTCTTGCTTATTTTTTCTCCTTTTCTGTCGACAACCTCTTCGACAACCTACTCTCTTTCTGCAGCACAATGAGCTCCCACGACAACGAAGAACTTATCGACTACGAGGATGAGCACGACGTTATCCCCAACGGCACAGCTTCCGCAGCTCCTGCCAATGGGACAGCGGCGTCAGCAGTGGATGGTGAGGTCGACAAAGACAAGAAGAACTTCTCTGGAATACATTCGACGGGCTTCAGGTTGGTTTTGCCTCCGTATTGTTGCAAACAACAACCATTTGACATTTTGTCTCCTTTTTTATTTTAATTTTACAGAGACTTCTTGTTGAAACCTGAGCTTCTGAGAGCCATCAGCGATTTGGGTTTTGAGCACCCCTCAGAAGGTATGTTTCAGTTGTGGTTAAAATATCATTTTCAACTCACGGCACTCGTTCAACAGTTCAACAAGAATGCATTCCTCAGGCTGTTCTGGGAATGGATGTCCTTTGCCAAGCAAAGTCTGGGCATGGTAAGACGGCAGTCTTCGTGCTCGCGACTTTGCAGCAACTGGAGCCAGTCAATGGAGAAGTTTCCGTCATTGTCCTCTGTCACACCCGCGAGCTCGCTTTCCAGATAAAGAATGAGTACACACGTTTTGCTAAGTATATGCCAGACGTGCGGGTTGGCACGTTCTACGGCGGCACCCCCGTTCAAAAGGATGCGGAGACTCTTCGTGACAAGACGCGCTGTCCCCACATCGTCGTGGCTACTCCCGGACGACTCAATGCCTTGACAAGAGACAAAGTTTTGGACGCAAAGAACGTCAAGCACTTTATTTTGGATGAGTGCGATAAAATGCTAGAACAGCTCGGTTAGTCTCATCCTGCGATTCGATTTCGGCTACGATTTTGCGGTATCTTGGTACCGGTTGCCGCCGCCGCAAGAGGCACTTGTCTCGTCAACGTCCCCTCCCTCCGCCGAGGGCGCAGGCGCCTTGTGCGCCCTGAAACGCGCTGTAGATGCAGGGTCTTGGGAACTTTGTTGGGTTGATGAGATTATATACATAAGATATATCATCGTATCTCTCCCTCACATCCCCCACACTTGTCATATCGTCTTCTGACGGTTTTTGAGTCCATTCCCCTCTCGAAATGTCGACAATAGTCTAACCGCATCTCCTCGTTGTTCTTTTGTTTGATTCGCAGACATGCGCCGAGACGTCCAAGAAATCTTCCGTGCAACACCTCACCACAAGCAGGTGATGATGTTCAGTGCCACGCTAGCGAAAGAAATTAGGGCCACGTGCAAGAAATTCATGGCCAATGTATGTGATGCACTTTTGCTCATGGACATCCTGCTGATACGGTTGCTGCAGCCTTTGGAGATCTTTGTTGATGACGAGGCGAAGTTGACACTACACGGTTTACAGCAACACTACGTGAAACTCGACGAGAACGCGAAGAACAGGAAGTTGAACGAGCTACTAGACACCCTAGAATTCAACCAGGTACCACATCACCTTGTTCGAAAGACATTTATTTATGATTTATCAGGTCGTGATCTTTGTCAAATCGGTCGCAAGAGCTGTCGAGCTGGACAAGCTTTTAGTCTCTTGTAATTTCCCTAGTATCAGCATCCATTCAGGCTTGGCTCAAGAGGAGCGGTGAGCAACGACCATCAGTGGATCTCTTGAATACTCTTGCTAAGTGCCCAACAGTATAAATCGGTACACTGCGTTCAAGGCCTTTGAAAAGCGCATCCTTGTCGCAACCGACATTTTCGGTCGCGGCATTGATGTTGAACGGGTCAATATCGTGATCAACTACGACTGTCCACCAGATGCGGACAGTTACCTTCACCGCGTCGGTCGTGCAGGTCGTTTCGGAACGAAGGGTCTAGCGATCACGTTCCAATCGAGTGAGGCAGACCAACAAGTCATGTCTGCAATCCAACAACGATTTGAGGTCGCTGTACCTGAGCTTCCCGACCATATTGATCCCGCTACTTACAGTAAGTGTCTAGCTGTTGTGTGTCTTTGACCTCGAACTTATGTTCTCGTCTCTCATCTAGTGACATCTTAATTTCATCTACACCTCTTTTCGATTTTGTTGTTTTCTCGTAGTCTTCCTCCCAAACACTCCTCGCTTGTTTGAGCATATGTAATGTTATTTTAGTGGGTCGCCGAATTCATCATCATGCTTTCTGTCTCCTGATGAAATCCAAGTTCGGTGTAAGTTCTCAGTATCTCGTTCAGGTTGCAAGTATTGCAGATCGATTATACGTTTCAACAAAACTTGAGCGTTCGAGTGAAGCGTTGACATTTCAGGAGCAGGAGCAAAACAGCGACGATATCCCTAACTCTGTTATGCTCGTTGATGACATCAGTCATGTCAATTGATGCGATAGTTTTGAGTTGCGAGTGGTGACACGTATATCCATCAGTTCCTGCGGCCAACCGGGTTCACGCTGGAGTCACTAGACCAATAACTTTTTCTTGCCAGCAGCGTGGATCATCTGAATGTCTATGACGTGTTTCGTGGAGTCGGACCGACACTCATTCAAATAATCATAGGTACCTCAGCTGCGTAAGGGTAGATGGGCCCATCGATGTTTGTCCGTAATCAGCGACGAAAGGTTGTTAGTGTCATCATTTCAAATTTTCAGTGGCTCCCCAAGGACCCTGCCGCGCACGTGCTTTCTACTACTGGCACAACAGACTTCTGTATGGTGCCATAAGATCCGATGCAGGTTTATTTCACACAGAACGAGAGAAAGAGTATTGTGTAATCCAAAACAATAGAGGATGACAATTGAGCTTATGAATACATAAGGGTATGGGGTGAAATTGTAGCTGAAGGTGTACATACATACAATCAGTGCCTTTTGAGGCGAGGGCGCTTCTCGCCGAGCTCTCTTGAATCTGTACTCTTTCTTTTGGCGGTCTTGGATTTTAAATCATTTAACCTGTGGACACCCCTTCGGTCGGCTCTTGAACAATATATTGTGGCAACGCAGGAGAATACGATATTAGTATAATCTCATCCTTGGTTTCGTCTCTGCAAATAGATACATTGCATCTCCTCGTGTTCTTACCCTTGACAACACTGTACAATTGGCCGTAAGTAAAGAGATCCGTTGGAAAGTCGAGCTCCATGCTAGCAACAATCCTTGACAACCATTACATACGCGCGCGGGTCGCAGAGGAAACCACCCTCGAGTCACCATCCACGACGAACGGTTTTGCATGGAACGCAAAAGCGATGTCTTTGACATTTACTACGCAGTGATGCGGCTATGCATGGTGCCCTGGACGATGATGGGATTAGTAGTGGCGGGCCAAGGTGAAACGCGGAGGAGTCCTTTAGGTACTGGGCGAGACATTGCCGGTACCTGCTATGTTGAAAAGACGCAAGCATCATCGAGAAGAGGTTATATATAGATAGATGCATGAGCAAAAATACGAAGGCGAAGAGAAGGTCGATGATATCGATAGGACCATTAATAGTTGTCTAATAGATAGATTTACACAAATATCCGATGGCCAAAAGATATTTTTGTCAGTCTGATAACTGCTTCGATTTGATGGCTCAACAACACCGCGAAATGAAGCAGAGGTCGCCATAGTAGTGAGGAAAAGACCGTAAATAGGACTTGGAGACAGAAGCATGACCGGTGGGCGCAATAGTACCTGAACCCGGCGGTTATTGGTGCTTCAATACTGTAGAAAATGCAATTGAGTGTCGTAAATTTGCTTGCGCTGCTGGTAGTCTGCAAAGTTTCGAGGAGTGAACGTAGTACAAAGTTGGAGAACTGAATATGTACCTCGGTCATCGCTGCTCTTTGCTTATGAACGCATCAAACTTCGGCCACAAAAGCAGAGGCGACCGCCAATAGTGATCCACTTGAAGTTGCAGACTGCCCCCGAGGGGTCAAAACGCCTGATCGTGCAAGTAGAGCCGGGGAAACAAAGATACCAGCATCATAAATTGCTTCGCTTTCTTACCTTTCCCCTTTTTGAGGCCTTGATGATCAGTAAATCATCTGACGGAGGTGGGGCGATATTTGAATATCCAATGGTTGGGGTATTTGTCGCCGTCTGCATTGATTTGCATAGCTATTCGATAAACATCAGCCAAAGTTTCGACCTGAGCTTGTTGCGGAGTGCCTCACCATCATGATTGTACAGGATGAACGCTTGCTTGATATAATGATGACAGATTCCATTGGCAAGATCCCTCACTAGCCAAGGTAGTTTCCCGACGGGCCTGCATTGAAGGATTGGTCTGATAGTAAAGCCTTAATTGGACACGATCTTTTCGAGACGAGGGCCTGAAATTCCCACAGCGGAGACGTGAATCGAGGTCTACTAGTTCAGATATAGGCGGTTCTTCTCTGGCACCGCCGCCCCAGACGACGTGCGTCGGAAAAAGTCAATGGAATTGCAGTGTAAGATGTCGATGGACTGTCGAAGCTGGCAGTTGAGTGGCAAGTAGCAGACCCAAAGGTCACCGATATAGCTTTGGCAGAACTGGATTAGTCATTGGCAAAGGAAATCTTGGCAGCCATGGCCCATATGTCAGGCCTTCAGGACTCTCACGGATTTTTTGTCTTGGGTAGACCGGCTTCTCACCCTGGAAAAAAAACGATAAGCCCTGATCAAAGCATGCACGGAAGACGACGTCTAGGATCCCAGTCATTCGGGCATCCTCAAGCTTCGAACTCGATGCAGAAATATCTTCC